AGAAATGGGAGCAGCAGAGGCAGCAGAGCCAGGAGACTGGCAGGAGACAGTGTGGTGTGCTTCCCGGCCCAAGAGAGCAGAGTGCTTTAATCAGAAGGCTTGCTAGCAGGGAGGGGTGCCATGAGGCACTTGGCAGAGCGAGGCTCGCTGACCCACAGAGTGAAAGAGCTGGGCACATTTGGCTGAGGCTTACTGGCAGAGTGGGGTGCCTCTGGGCTCCTGCTGGGAGAACTAATGAGCTTCTAACACTTGCATGAGCAGGGCAGAGACTGAGATGCCCAAGAGGCCAAGGACCAGAGAATGGCCTGCCTATAGGCACAGCTGAGAACAGGCTGTCCTGATGGAAGAAGAACTGTCTCCTGAGTTATTTCCAATCCTGATTTGTAAGCTGTTACTTTCCTGTTGTTGTTGTTGTTATTATGTGCCATCAAGTCGGACCTGACTCATAGCGACCCCTCCTTGGGTTGCCGAGGCAGTATCACTACGGAAGTAGATTGCCCAACCTTCCTGCCGAGGAGTGGCTGGTGGGTATGAACCACCAGCCTTCTGGTTAGCAGTCAAGTGTCTTAGGCACTATGCTACCAGAGAGTAACCCTATAATCATAAGTATTGTCTGTGAGATCTGTGTAGCCACTGCAAAGAATTACCTAATCCAACAAAGAAGTAGGGAGTGCCGCAGGAGGGATAGCTGCTTTTTGAATTGGTAATAAGGTTAGAGGATGTCTGACTTCAGCCTTATAGGAATCAGCTTTGTGCTATTAATGATGATAGTGATTCTCTCTCTCCCTTGTGGAGTTAGAAAATGTCTGATGCCTCTGCCACACCACTTTTACAAATGTGTAATAGTTTATCTTCCCTATTCTGTAAACTCTGAGATAGCAAGAATCATGCATTCCTGGTTGGTAACTATCTATAAAACAGACTAGGTGGAAAACATTTGAGTTATGCTGTGTTTACAAAAAACACCAAACTCACTGGCAACAAGTCATTTCCGACTCATAGTGACCCCTCCTTGGTTTCCAAGGTGGTATCTCTATCGAAGGAGATCGCTCAATCTTCCTTCTGAGGAGTGACTGGTGGTTTTGAACTGCCAGCCTTCAGGTTAGCAGTCAAATGGGTTAGGCACTACGCCTCCAGTGCTGTGTTTGGGACATAAAACCAAAACCAGACTCACTGCCATTGAGTCAATACTGACTCATAGCAACTCCTGTTGGATTTCCGAGGCAGTGCAGAAATTGCCTCATAGTCCGCCCATGGAACAGCTGGTGAGTTTGAACCACCAACCTTCTGGTTAGCAGTCAAATGCCTCAAATACCAGAGTTCCTAATAATGGGTGCTCAAAAATAACAGATGAAATGAACTACCCAAGATTCCACAGTTAGCGAGTGAAAGAGCCAAAATTTAAACCTTGGTGGTGGTGCAGCGGATAAGACATTTGGCTGCTAACCAGAAGGTCAGTGGTTCAAATCCATCAGTTGCTCCATGGGAGGAATATATGGCAGTCTGCTTATAGCCTTAGAAACCCAATAGGGTCACTTATGAGTTGGAAAAAACTCGATGGCAGTGGGTTAGTCCTAACTCCAAATATATAAAACCCTTCCACTATGCCTCTTTGCCACTGTCAACACCTTGCTCATGCACCCATTCCTCCACACCTGGAAACTCTAAATAGTTTTCCCAAGGTCGGGATCGGTAATTCCAATCCACTCTATACACTATTGCCAATAAAGCAAAGGGGGGAGAAAACAACAATATAATTTCTCTTCCAAAAAAAAAAAAAAACACACCAAAACACTTCATTGGTCACTCACTGCCTTCCAACTTTCTCACCCTGGCATCATAAAAACCAAATCCCACGGCCATCGAGTCAATTCCAAATTACAGCAACACTCATTGGGTTTCCAAGGCTGTAATCTTTACAGAAGTAGATTGCTGCATTTTCCTTCCACAGAGCAGCTTTTGTAGGTTTGAACTGCCCACCTTCTGGTTACCAGCCAAATGCCTTATCCACTGCACTACTAGAGCTCCTTCCTTGGCAACATAGCACATCACAATTTGGCCCCAATCTACCACTCATTACTTTATACTATACTTCAGGCAAACTTGGCCATTTGACTTCCAAACATATCCATCCTTTCTGCTCTACATTTTTCCAAGCTCCCACCATCACCATCAAGTCTGTCACTATCTCATCCAATCATTAAGACCTATATCAAGTAATGTCCTCACTGAAGCATTTATGTTTTCCCCAGTAGAGTATCTCCTCTAGAAAGCCTTCAACCAGTGTGTACTACTGTGTACTATGTACGCACATAACCACATATTAGCCATTCTTTTTACTTTTCTAGGCTCCTTTATTCAATTGTGAGATCCTTGGAAAAGGCAAAAGTCTCTTGATCCTCTGGGAGTGTCCATTAACAGCGTTACGTACAGAGCAATCATTCAAAAAATGTTACTAGAGATCTCAGGCTCATGGGCCCAAGATCCACAAACTTCACAGGTTCCTTAAATCAGGGTTCCACCGCAATCTAAAGCTATTTCTGTTTATAAATGTCCCAGATATCTTCATTTACTTCAAGGGCAGGCTCCAATTTCACAAATTTAATTTTAATCCATTCCAATATCCAAAACTTTCTTATAGCGAAACAGCACTCCCAGGATAAGGGGACCGGCGTGGGACAGGGGGAAGTAGGAGTTGCACCCTGACAATAAATCTGATGTCAACATTCTATAAAAGCCACGTTGACTAGAAAACAAGCCATTATCTTTATAGTTTAATGCAGGGACTGTAATACCCTCGGAGAAGTGGGACAGAGGCTAAATCAAAACGTCACACGGGCGGTATCAAGAGGTTTGGTTAGCATAGGGTTTGTACTCAGTCTGACGTCAGCCTGGCACCTACCGTCCTCTTCTGCAGCTCCACCTCCAGGGTTCGCATCCGTGGTCGCGCCTGGGACTGCTGCCATGGCTATTAAAAGGTGGGCTCTGCGGGAATTCAAGACTGGAGTGGCGTGTTAGTGCAGACAGATGGTTAACAAAACCTGGAGTCTGAGAGATCAACGAACAGGAAGAACTTCCAGCTGTTACCAGGCTCCTCCGGAAGTGCCCAGCCAAGCGAAGTCATGTGACGGCTGCTGGGCGGAGCCATGTGAGTTTGTTTTCTTTCCGGAGTTGCAAACACGTGGCCTCTGTTGTGCCGCTTTGTCCCTCTCCCCAGACCTTAGACTTTTTTCATTGTTATGTTCTCTTGGATTCGTTTCTGCTCCTAGAAAGTCAGTTCCTTACCTCCTTGGCGCTATTCATCACCCAACAATATTTGGCTATTAGCCTTTCTTTTAGGGGATGTTTGCTTCTTTGTGGGGCTCGGGGCAATAGAATGCGTCCCTGCATTGGGTTACCCTACAACAGTTCTTACCAGCCCTGGATACCGTGATAGCTTACACCTTTCTTCCACTTTTCTTATCACTCTGTCTGTTCTCCTTGGCTGCCGAAGAATACAAACCTCTCAGACAAAATGTCGTTTAGTTGCGTTCCCCATGACTTCATTTCTCCACCCAGACAAGCCAAACCTCTTGACAAAGTTTTGTAAGGACAGTAGCCAGCAGCTGTTAATTTGCATATTAAAATAAACAGGCTGCTTGATCAGGAAATGAATGACTCCCCACCTTTCCCCTTGTTTCTTCATTGATTAAAATCGTAAGAGATAGATTCAGGTTACCTTTGAGCAAAAATCTTCCAGCCTTAATCAATAGATCTTTATTGCTCGCCTATTTAGTGACAGACTAAATAGGTAGAAAGATGGTGTGTGTGTGTGTGTGTGTGTGTGTGCGCGCGCGCGCGCGCGCAATCTACTTCCGTAGAGAAACTGCCTCAGAAACCCAAGGAGGGGTCGCTATGAGTTGAATTGACTCCACGGCGGTGACTTTGGTTTGTTTTTATAGATCTACATCGATGGAGCCATAGCTCTCTCTCCATCTCTCTTTACAGACCTTACGATCTCATTGGGTATGTAAGACACACACACATACATACAAACAAACAGATAAAACTAGGCAGAACTTACTGTACATTAAAAAAAATTTTTTTTTCATGCATCGATCTCCTGGGTTCTCAACACACTTCAGTCTTATCCTATCTACTCCTGTAATTTCTGAAGTTATAAACCCAACAAAAATCCAAATTAACCCAACATAGAATCACGCATTAGGTTTAATGACCTGAGGTCGCCGAGTTGTTTATTAGGCACATGATGTTCACTTGGGCCACTTCCTCCAGGACAACTCGGGAGTTCATTGCCCAATCTCCTCTAATGCATTCTCTCTGGGAGTTTCTCTTTCCTCGGGCTCAGTCGCTCTAGTAGCCTTTTCAATTCCTCCCTGCCTCCCTCTAGGACCTCGGCTCCTTTCTTCCTCTCTCCTCTGTTTTCTCTCCAGCACCCACCCAGCGTCGCGGGGAACCGCGCCTGGCGTGCTCCGAACCGACACCCTAACCTCCTCTCCAGCAACCCGACTCCCAGCCCCCAGCCGGCTCGGGACGCGCAGGCGCAGTAGGCTGACGGCCGCTTGGCCGAGGGCGACCGAAGAGGGCTCAGCCTCCACCTCCTCCAGCCGCTCCTCCTTGGGGCTGGGCGGCGGCGACCCGGACCGTCGGGCAGGGGCCCCGCGGGCCGCTCGTCGCTATGGGCTCGAGCTGGAGCAGCGAGGAGGAGCGGCAGCCGCTGCTGGGGCCCGGACTCGGGCCTAGGCCAGGGACTACCTGGAGAAGTCGGGAGGCAGCAGCGGCCGCGGTGCTGCCGGCTGCGGCTCCGGGCCCCGGGCGGGTGTACGGGCGCCGCTGGCTGGTCCTGCTGCTCTTCTCGCTACTCGCGTTCGCTCAGGGCCTGGTCTGGAATACCTGGGGTCCGATCCAGAACTCGGCGCGCCAGGCCTATGGCTTCTCCAGCTGGGATATTGCGCTGTTGGTGCTGTGGGGTCCCATCGGCTTTCTGCCCTGCTTCGCGTTCATGTGGCTCATGGACAAGAGAGGTAAGAGACTCGCAGGAGTCACTCCTGGAGGAGGTCGGACCCCGGCTGGTCTCCAGGCGGGCGAGCCGCGTCCCTTCGTTTGGTCTTAGGAGTTCTGTGAGGTGCCGGAATGTTGCTAGCGTCCCATTGCTGGGTGGAACCCTTCGTCCTAAAGAGACAAATATGGGGAGCTTCTTTGCAAATATTTATGTTTTTATCAAGGCTGCCCTTTATGCAACACCAGGGATTAAGCGAGCTCTAAATATTCAAGTTTTTGCATAGTGTGGACAGCAGAGCATTCCCCTGTACGTGTTATGTATGATTTTTACACTCAACAAAAATGACTTATGCCTTGACTTCAAAAGGATTTGGGAATGTTGAGGGTGAAAGATCGGAAAAAGGAATGATGATGCCCAGATGTAATGAAGTAATGAGTTGACTTTACCTAATGGATGACTCCAGCCCAGGAAGAGCTATGGGGAAATACCACATCTGACGCTTTGGCTTCGTAGAATATGGGGCTAGGCAGCTTTACAGTGTATGTATGTGACTTGGTGGTTTTCTCAGTTTAGATTTATGACTCTCAGATAAAGCTGGCAGATGAATGAAGACTTACACAGAGATGCTCTGAACAAACTTTACAAACACTTGCTAATGTTACTCTGTGAGGAAAAAATAGTCATATTAAGGCCCTGAATTATACCATGTAAGTGTCCATGAATTATTAGCAGTGATGATTTGCCTTCAGGAGGCTATTGTGGAAGATTTTAGATTTGTTAGTTCCATAATGGTTGGAAAATACTTTTTTTTATTTCTGTTAGTCCAACCTTTCATAGATTTTGTTGAAATTAGTTTTTTAGTTAGATTCAGAAGGTGTAGGAAAGTACAGAATTGCAGTTGTCTGACACATAGAAACAAAAAACCATTCCTAGGGACACTATAGGACAAACTAGAACTACCACATAGGATTTCCAAAGCTATAAATGTTTACTGAAACAGACTGCCTCATCTTTCTTCCACAGAGCCACTGGTGGGTTCCAACTGCTGACCTTTAGAGAGTGTTTAACCACTATGCCACCAGGGCTCCTTGTCTGACACAACAAATGCAATGCACTGCTGTCGAGTTGGACCTAACTCATAGCAACCCGTCTTTGGGTTTCTGAGGTGGTATCACTACGGAAGTAGATTGTCCAACCTTCCTTCCCAAGAGTGGCTGGTGGGTTTGAACCACCAGCCTTCTGGTTAGCAGTCAAATGTCTTAGACACATAGCACTCAAGTATTTGTTTCCCAAAGAGCAGAATAACAGCGATCCATTAGTAGCTGGCCTCTCTTCTCTTCCAAGTCTTTTGTGGTAATCCATATGGAACAAACTAAGGAATTATTGATGGGGAGTTCATTAAGGAGCAACAGTATATGTAGTTGCTAAAAAAAAGGGAGGACACTTTTAAGGATAGAAACATAGTATCCAAAAAAAGGGGGGTAAAAAAAGAATTTGATAAGCTCTACACGGGTGTTCATTTCTGATTTTTAATTTTAATAAGGCCTTTGACAACTAGAATACTTTAAAAGTTGTGTGGCAAGAATGACAAAGTGTAAAAATCATGATGTATAAGATGAAAGAAAACGGATGTATTGAGCTTCATAAAGAAACTTGAGACGGAATGTAAACTATGTGGAAATTAAGTAAAAGAGGAATTAGACTTGATGTGTATAGTTCTAGAAGGAAGAACTAAACTCACTGAAGTTTCAAACAGATGTAACTCAAAGCAATACAAGGAAGAAGCTTCTAGTAATTAAAGGTATCCAGCCCTGGAAAGGAGTGTCTTGACAGGTGTAGAACTTCCAAGTAGAACAAGTACTTATGCGAAGAATGTGTGCTAGATCAACACATTTCTACTGTGACACACCCGGGGGCACCATGAGTCTGATCAGCTGGGTGGCAGGTGGTGATGGTGGTGATGGTATGCTAGATGCTGAAGAAGGACTCTAGTATTGAGTGGAGGTTTTGTTTGCTTCAGGTTTTTTTTGTTTGTTTGCTTTTAAATGAAATAACAGACTTTCTTCAGATCTTACCAGTTTTTCCACTAATGTTTGTTTTCTGCTTCAGAATTCAGTTTGTTGTTGTTGTTGTTATTTGCCATCGAGTTGGCCCGACTCATAGCGACCCCTCCTTGGGTTTCCGAGGCAGTATCACTACGGAAGTAGGAATGCCCAACCTTCCTTCCGAGGAGTGGCTGGTGGGTTTGAACCGCCAGCCGTCTGGTTAGCAGGCAAGTGTCTTAGCCACTATGCTACCAGAGCTCCTAGAATTCAGTTTAGGATCACTCTATGTCGAACTCAATTTTATATTTTCTGTTAGTTGAAGCAATAAAAAATGAATTTGAAAATCGTCTCTTTTAAGAATTGGTTTTCCTTTTTAGTAGAGGGCTCATCCCATTGAAGGAGGAAGGTAATACAGTTACCTGTGTTGACTATCCTCTTGCAATTGTCCTATCAGCACACATACAAAGCAAGTTCCAAGTGTCTTGCTTCCTGAAGTATAAGTAGTTGTCTGGCCTTCCAGCTGCCATAGGTCCCACCCAGCTTAACACAGAAGATTGCCTAAGATAGGTTTTTCACCTTTCCACCCCTTTTCATTTACAACAAAGGAGACAGAAAAGGAGCAGCTAGGGAGATAATAGGAGCCCTGGTGGCACAGTGATTAAAGCACTTGGCTGGTAACAGATCAGCAATTTGAACCCACCAGCCATTCTGCGGGAGGAAGATGTGGCAATCTGCTTCCATGTAACAGCCTTGGAATCTGTATGGAGTAATTCTGCTCTGTCCTAAAGGGTCGCTATGAGTCTGAATTGACTTGATGGCAAGGCATTTTTTTTAGAGAAATAGTAGGAGACCTGAAGGAATGTATCCTGTTGTTGTTGTTGTTGTTATGTGCCGTCGAGTCGGCCCCGACTCATAGCGACCCCTCCTTGGGTTTCCGAGGCAGTATCACTACGGAA